TGTTCACGTACACCCAAAGATCATTTGGCAGATATTTATAGCTGAATTGTCACTCCGTTCGTTATTCATTGTCGAGGCTTGCTGTTAAAACATTAACCTTTTTAGTGTGACCTAAGCCTCATTGCAGGATATGATCCGCCCCCCCCCCCCCTGAAAGTCACACCCACGGTCACCATACGGTGTTCAACGTATGACTCTCCCAGGAATTCCTGCCTGTGCTTGTTGAAAATAATCGGCCATCGAGTAGCGTTTTAAGTGAGCCTTGAATTATTTGATACATAAACCCTAGCCTTCATAGGGGGGGGGGGGGGGAGAGGGGGTCTTGTGAACCACCCCATTAGGTTTTGCTTGTGGTACCTGTCGGGTATGCTGTGCAATCGCACCGAAATTTCGATACCTTCTGTGTCATCTATTGCGCGTGTTCTGGCGCCATAAACGTGTCCCTTGAATTTCGGGTTTCTTGGGAGCGACGGTAGTTTGGGAGCCTTGCCTGGCGATCTACTGCCGGTGTGGGCGGAGGCCGGCAACCTACCATTGCGCGGTCTGGCGCGGTGGGCCGACACTGTCGCATCGACTGAACCCTTTATCAGATGCGTACGCTCGAGACAGATTACATTCCATTGTATTCAGAATTGGACAATACATACGCCTGTTGAAGTTTTGCGTCGCCAGGAGGCATGGCCCTGTGCATAAGAACATGTAAAGCCGAACAAATCTGTTAATGTTGAGAAAATCTTACCTTTGACCTGGCGTATTAGTGACAGTGTGTAGCCTAGGGACGCGCAGTTATTGTCAGCCGCTAGATCTCGTATAGAACAATGCACTGTAATTTTTTTCTCGAGGCTCCACCTTTTTTAGTTTAGGAACGGCAGGGAGTCGCCCCCCCCCCCCCCCTATCAGTCCATGCTATTAAAAACCGCGAATCAGGGTCAGAATTACTATCTGGTTTTCATTGCCATCCAAACTGCGTCGCCGTCGCCGTTTTTGCTAGGTGTGGTCGGAAACAGTGATCCGACAGCTTCGGTCTCAACACCTGTCCGATAATAAAGGTGTGCCACATCGCTATCCATCCGTTGTGGAAGTGTTTTGGTAGGATCTGTCGGGGAGGAGGGGGAGGGATGAGCAACACCCATCGGATATATTTAACTCGTTCTACGTATATTTAATAAGAAATCTTGTTGGCAGGCCCAGAGCCCCTCAACGCCATGCCACGCTGTGAAAAATTGTTGTGTTCATTGTCTGCGGAGTTGAGATCGGGGCAACATGGTTTCCGGTGTATGATGTACTCTTATCAGCTGGGCTGGGAGCTGAGTTGGGGGGGGGGGGGGGGACTCTAAACAGCTAGCTCGGGTTCCTAGAGACCGCCTGGCATCTGATGTATATTTTCTACCAACTCAGATAAAACAAACGTTGCTTATTATCACGATTTACTATCATACTGTAACAACATGGTCTTTAGTGGACAGTGAATGGCGAGGAGGTGTGGAATTGGGAAACGCATGTACTTGAGCAGGGTACTAGACCAGCAGTATGGTGATTAGACCTTAAAAAGGAAGCGACAGGAAACAATTAGCAATCAGTCAGATTTTGTTTGTTTCAACCAATTTTTGTGTCGTTACATGTCGCACATGTGACATGTCGGAAATTTTATGTTTCGACCTCTTCTTTAGTGGTGAGATCTCTCCTTCACCTAAGTAAAAAGCGATTTCAGGACACTCTCTGGGCTCTCAGTAATGTTGCGAAAGGACAGCCCTGTGTCATATTTTCGATGGTTACCTGATATCTACGTACTGCGCTATGAAACAAGTGAGAAGGCTTTTATGAATTATTCTTGCTGATTCCATCATGCATCATGCACTGCGAAACAACTAACCTAATTACGCCTTTCAGCTGGATTTTCTTGCTGTTAGGTGGCAGCACTCTCGCTGTCAATAATGCATAATTAATAGGGACGACTTAAAATCGGCTTGCGCAGCCTGAGTTCCTGATCGATCTGGGGAAAAAATATTTGTTGTATTTAGTTGTCATTGCGCACCAAGTTCCATTGGCTCACCGTGCTCTAAGAATATAAAGCCCGATGGCACACACTACTCAGTGATTGGACGGTTGTCCCTGCGAATTGCGCTGTATCAAGGACATCTTTGCCGTCCCAAGCTTAAAGGCGTAAGTGCCATGTTTTGGAAATGGAAGTTGTTCATATGGTTTGACGTCGTTCGAAGAAATACATCTTGAGATCTGCATCTGATGAATAGGCAACGTTTGAGAAAAATTCAGCTTATTTTTTTAAAAAAATCCTTTCAAATAATATCAGCATGTTATTTCAACGGTATCTGGAAATGTTCTTCTGGGACAATTTAACCTGACGACACCTAGGCCTTTTTTGTCAATGGACGGCAGTTCTACGAATGGCTCTGATTTGCGTTGAAAGATCGTTTCAGAGTTGGAGATAAAAAAGCCGAGTACAGAAACCGATCACTCTGATCGTTTCGATCATCTGATCATGACTCTTTTTTTGCAGGACTGGAAGCTTCGAGCGTTTTGCGGATATGGATGATAGTCAAGGTATTTTTAACTTTAGGAGTGACATCCGAATGTTGTCCTGACCGATGTCTGGGTGATACAATGGTTTCACCTATGTTTTTAACGTGCCAAATTGAGTCCGCCATGTAACCAGGATTTCGCCCAGGAAGTGGTAAGCCGAGCTTAGGGGCCCTTCAGCTGGGGAAGCCTCTCTCGGTTAAGCAGATCCTTTTAAGCCGCTGCTGGACACGACGCCATAAGCCCCATGCGCTGTGCTACGACACTGAATCGAGGAATACATTTTGAAACGTTTTCTTTGAAGACCTGATTGTGTGTGCGTGCGCGTGCGCGTGCGCGTGCGCGTGCGCGTGCGCGTGTGCGTTGTGTGTGTGTGGTGTGTGTGTGTGTGTGTGTGTGTGTGTGTGTGTGTGTGTGTGTGTGTGTGTGTGCGTGCGTGCGTGCGTGCGTGCGTGCGTGCGTGCGTGCGTGCGTGCGTGCGTGCGTGCGTGTGTGCGTGTGTGCGTGTGTGTGTGTGTGTGTGTGTGTGTGTGTGTGTGTGTGGTGTGTGTGTGTGTGTGTGTGTGTGTGTGTATTGGTCAGCGCTGCCCCTGTGCATTCCAAGGTCACGTTGTATGACGGTCAGGCCGTCTCCCTAAACTAGTGCGTCGCCTCCGTCTAAGCGTGTACCAAGCCTCTTATCACTCTCCTCCCGTCCCTAAACATGCGTCCATTCGCCGGACGGGAAGGCAGACCCTCCGTCGTCGCCGGCCAGCCATGGGGCGGACTCGGAGCCGGAGTCGGGATCCTCGCCGGAGCCGGAGCCTCCCGCCGCCGGCTCCAGCGAGCAGGCGGCGACGGAGCGGGCGCCGATGCTGGCGGCGGGCGCTGAGCGGCAGCGCTGATCAGGAACAGACACGCTGGACGTGTCGGACGCCTCGGGGGGCTCGCCGCCGGGCGACGACGAGTTCGGCCCTGTGGAGACCGCGCTCAGCGCCCACCTGCGGCCCGTGATGCGCCGCTGCGGACGACGTGCTGTCGGCCGCTGACGCCGTCCAAGTGTCATCCATCACGTCTGAACAAGCGCCGCGCGCTCGGCAGGTCAGCGGCGGTCCGGGGCCGGGGCCGGGACCGGGACCGGGACCGGGACCGGGGACCGGGAACCGGACCGGGACCGGGGCCGGGGCCGGGGCCGGGGCCGGGGCCGGGGCCGGGACGCGGGCCGGGGGCCGGGGCCGGGGCCGGGACCGGGACCGGGACCGGGGGCCGGGGCCGGGGCCGGGGGCCGGGGCCGGGACCGGGGCCGGGACCGGGGCCGGGGACCGGGACCGGGACCGGGACCGGGGCCGGGGCCGGGGCCGGGACCAAGGTGGAGACTGAGTTTATATATTGTCTTTATCCATATGTCCAACCAATCCGCTTTCACCGCCGGGCGCAGCTCCCGCACGCGGCTTTTCAAAAAAGGCGTCGGGAAGCTACATAAATGGCGCGGACAGAGAAGCAGTCTTCAGCGACAGCTGCCGTCAGTTATTTATCAGTTTTGTATGGCTTTTCTAGGACCCTAGTCATTTCTTAGAAATTATTTATTGGCAAAATCTGGGTTACATTAAAGTTAAATCTAAAAAAATGTAAATAATTTAATTCGAAACCAAACGGTCTGCTCAACAGAGAACAAGAAAATATCCTTCAGCTTTACGCTCGCACCCTAATTTGATGGCGACGCTCTGTAGATTGATAGAGAAAAGTGCATGCCTTTATTTAATGCCCTTTGCATGCGTTTTCATACCCTATTAAGCTCAGGTTTCTTGGTGGAGAACTTGCCTTATCTCCAATGCTTAATCCTCCCCAAGAGCCAGATGCTTGAGTAGCCGTGGATTTCCGCGTGCCCAAGCGAGTGTTTAGGATGGTGTTTGGCGTCACTTTAATGCCGTTTAAACAATCGCCATTTGTAGTAGCTTGAAATGTAACTGTAATTAAGGCAACATTTTAAAAAATTAAACGTAATTTTAACCAGTATATGATCAATTCACGCAGCATTTTTTTCCCGTGCAATCCAGAAACTTGGATTGTGACGTATACGAGATGTTCTCTGTTCTCTCTCTTCTCCCTAGCGATCCACCCCGTCAGGAGAGGCGGTTGTTGTTTGGAGCGCGGCGCTCGTAGTCCGGCGTCTGAGCGCGTGAGTGTCGGTGGACGGCGGGTGTATAAAACATGTGCTGGTGAGCAGTAACAGACCTGGACACTGAGCGCATTGAAAGGAAAGGTTGTGTGTGATGTGATAAGAAGATTCGGCAGAGGCCCGCAAGCAGCATCCATCGTTTAGTCGTGTGAGTGGCACGCGGTGCTGTCGAAGTTTCAGGAACAGCCTATTTGCATCTCCTGTTGTTCACAGAGAACAATTTTGTATACTATTTCCAATATACGGTTATGGAGAGCAATACGTCTTAGGGTGAAAACACCGGGAGGCGCCCAAATTTCAGGCAATGGTTGCCGGTCAGATCCGGGCGGCGCGGAGAGAGGTCATGACCACACAACATTTGGCAGTGACAAACAAGTTATATTATATGACACAGCTTATGGAGGTTTCCGTCCAACAACCAGCCGGATCTGGGTGAAATGGAGTCATGCTTGGTAAACATTTAATCACGGCTGATGGTGCGTTAAACTAAAGCGTATTCCTTTTCGGAGCTTGGATGCGTATTTCGTCAATACGATTCTTAAAAGGCATTATCTTGGCACTGAGTTCCACCGGCATTGCTGATTAGATGTTGCGCTTTTTTAAATGAAAACCGCAGACATGGGCCGTATGGATGATGGATGATGATGACATGGATGATGGCCAGGGGCTGCTGCCCTGCCTGTGCCGACTGGCACTGATGGACGCGCCGCCCGCCAGGCTGGACGGTGACGGCGACGTGGCGCCGCGCGCCGAGATCGTCACCGACTCGTCAAGCTGGAGGTGGAGGAGCACGAGCTGGAGGACCCGGGCGACCGGGATGACCTCGACTGGGAGGTGCCGACGGCCGGCGAGAACGACAGCAGCTACGCGGGCGACCGTACCTCACCACGGCCAGCGACCGACGTTCGCGCGGCCACCGGCGGACCCGGCCCGAGCCGCGGCGTGACGCGCGGTCGGCCGCGCGGCTCGCGCTCTCGCGCCGCGGTCGGGCGCGCGGTCGCGGAAGGGGCCGGGGCTCCGGCCGCGGCCGGCCGGCGGCGGGCCCCGGCGCCCGGCCGGGCGTCACATACCTGCAGGGGGCCGGTCGGGGGCGCGCCACAACGGCCCCATCGAGGTGCTGGAGCTGCCCGAGCGGCGCGTGCGGCTGGTGGTGGTGCGCGACAGACTGGTTATACAGAACACCGACGAATCGGGTGAGAAGGACGGCCGCTGCCCGCCGTCAGGTCCTCGAACGAGCGGGCTCCGTGCAGTGGTGCGGTGCTCTGGCCAAGCCATAAGAACCGTCTCAATATCCTCACTTGATTTGTTGGATGACGGCCGGCTATATGACGACTCTGTCATGTGGCAGATTGAGTCGCTGGCGCGGTGCCCATTGCTTCTGCATTGTGGACGCTACGCTGCTACTGCAATATGCCTGCCTTATATTAACATGAACGTTCTCTGAATGTCGCTGAGAGATTGTACCGCGGTGTGGTTTTTCTCATTCTAAAAAAGGGGACGCGGCTCACGTCAAGTCAAGTCCAAGTCAAGTCAGAGTCAAGCGCCAGTGACTGCATTGGCCATATCAGCCCTCAAAAGCCATGGTACAACCAGAATTCGAACCTGGGCCCCCCCGTGCGAGTCCAAGGAGCTAACCACTCGGCCATTATACCCCACAGCAGCATGTTGTAGTCTTTGTCTGGCTGCCGCCGTGGTGACTTACTGGGTGTTGCTCCGGTGTCTTCCAGATCGGAGCCTACCCCGTCGCACAATGACCTGACATTTATGGAGCTGGTAAAGATCAAGGAGGCCGTCACCAAGAAGGTGGATGAGACTAGCGCCGGAGGTAATGTCAAAAGTCGCGCAGCCCCGTGTAAGCGGCAGAACGCTGAAGGTGATGTGCCGAAGGCGAGCAATAAACCATGGAGAGACGCAGTGTTGATTCGGCGGTTCACCTTTTTTATAGATTGAGATGCCACGTTGCCCGAAATCTGGGCTTTGGCTGTGAACGGCTGTTGCGGGGAGTGCGAGCGCCGCTGGAGTTGTGATCGTGCGCCACGTCCGCTCGTCTCGTACGCCTGTCTCTGGTTGCAGCGGTGTGACAGCCTGCGTACGCTGTGTCGTCTGCCGGCGCCGCCCCTGGCCGCGCGGGGCGAACCAGGGGCGGTGGCCGTGCGGGGTCGGGCGCCGGTAGGCCGCATCACCCCCGCGCCGCCGCCGCCGCCAGGTCCCGAAGAGCATATCCGGCGGCTACGCATGGCGCGGCGTCAGGCCATCTCCTGGGTGGAGACCCGTCTTCGATCCGAGGCACAGGGAGACATTACGCCCGTGAGTACCAGGCGACCCGCCGCCGCCCCACATCGGTCGTACTCACTGGCACGTAGACGCGCTGTTCTCTTTGTATATCAGTTGACATGTCTGTGCACTTTACGATCCATGCCATTTTCGGCTGTGGCTTCATCATAATTCACTGGGGGCAAGCACTGTGCTTTTGCGGTGCGCTTTGAGCCATCAAAATGTTTATGTGTATAATTTTTTTCCTCATCCGTACTGAGATTTCGCGTTTGTGGTGGAGCTGTGCATCATGTTCTTGGCTTATCGAACTGTTCGTTGTTTTCTGACTCGCCGACTGATCGCGGGCTCAGGGTGCCACTCGCCCCTGCTCGAAGCCGACCCTGACCGCTGGTGTCTCCCTCACCCGCAGAGCTCGCACGGCAAGCAGGGCAAGTCCAAGTATGACGCGCTGATCACGGCCAGGCCGACGACAGCGGCGGCGGCGCTCACGCCGGCCCGGGCCGCCACCGTCAGCTCGTCACGTGGCAGGGGCCGCCCGCTGCTGCCCAAGCCACGTATGTGAGGCCGCCGGCGGGACTGGGACGGGCGGCGCGGCCGGGGCAGGACAGCACAGAACGGGTGGGTGGGACACAGACCAGGAGCCGGCAGACTCTGACCGGACTGAGGGGACGGGAGGTGGGCTGGCCAGGACAGCCGGCAGACTGGGACCGGGAGGTGGGGCGGAGGCTGGGACTGGAGCGGGAGGTGGGCTGGCCAGGACAGCCGATAGACTGGGACGGGAGGTGGGCTGGCCAGGACAGCCGATAGACAGGGACGGGAGGTGGGCTGGCCAGGACAGCCGACAGACTGGGACGGGAGGTGGGCTGGCCAGGACAGCCGACAGACTGGGACGGGAGGTGGGCTGGCCAGGACAGCCGATAGACTGGGACGGGAGGTGGGCTGGCCAGGACAGCCGATGGACTGGGACGGGAGGTGGGCTGGCCAGGACAGCCGATAGACTGGGACGGGAGGTGGGCTGGCCAGGACAGCCGCAGACTGGGACGGGAGGTGGGCTGGCCAGGACAACCGACAGACTGGGACGGGACGGTAGGATCGGGTGCTGACAGCACCAGCCGCCGGCGGACGGACTGGGCGATGTGTGGGCGCCGAGGGTCGGTCGGGCGCTGACGGCACCAGCTGCTGACGGACGGGCTCGGCGGTGTATGGACGTCGAGGTCGGCCGGGGCGCTAACATGCCGTGACCCTGTCGCAGCGATGGTGCGCCTCACCGGGGCGCACGGGCTCGGCGGCTCGGCGGTGTATGGACGTCGAGGTCGGCCGGGCGCTAACGTGCCGTGACCCTGTCGCAGCGATGGTGCGCCTCATCGGGGCGCACGGGCTCGGCGGTGTATGGGCGTCGAGGTCGGCCGGGCGCTAACGTACCGCGACCCTGTCGCAGCGATGGTGCGCCTTACCGGGGCGCGGCACGTCACCGTCGAGGGCCAGCCGCCGACCGCCGTCGACGCCGACGACCCCGACTACGACCCGACGGCTGGCGACGACTTCGACAACGAGCGCGCCCGCAAGCTGTCCGCCGCCACCCGGCCGACACGTGAGTCCTTGGCAGCCGCTGCTGACGGGGATGACCAGCAGCCCGCCGCTGGCCCCCAACCGTTTGGTAGCCACTGCCATCACCG